TTTTTTTTTTTTTTTTTTTTGTCCTCTTATTCTTCTCTTTCTCTTCCTGTATGACTGGCGCTAGCCAAAACAAAATCTACCCATACAACTCTAAACGCTTGGATTGAGTATGAATTTCATACGCTTGGATTCCAAAAGTTTATTTTTTACTTACATTAATCACTCATTGCTTGCCACATTTATTTCTCTTGCAATGAACTTCTGCTATTTATCTACTGTGCAGGATCTGGAGAAGAACCTGAAAGCGACTTGTGAAGAGTTTATTATGTCTGTTACCAAGCTGGTTGTGGATCCCATGCTCTCATTCGTGACCAAGGTTTGTCATCTTTCCTAATGCTGAAACCGACCTAGCTGCTGGTTTAGGTTGGACCTCTGGGCTCGGTTATGGATACTAATAAGGGATGCTTCTTGAGCTTCAAGATAATTGACCACTTCTATTGATATTAATTTTTGCTATTATAGATGGGTTTTTTTTCCCCTCGTCTTTAAATAAAGGGAGGGTAACCGACTCTACCCATCCAGAAGTTCTCTCCTTTCTTTTTCTTTATTGTAACAATTTTTCTGGTATTCATTCTCAAGCCCATCAATCCTTCGTCTAAACCCTAAGAAAAATATTATGCCCTATTATTTGAATCTTCCTCTGGTAGGTGGGGGATAGATTTTAACCAATCCTTTGGAGGTTAGAAACCCGATATACCAATTTTGAGAAAACCTACTTGGTTTTGGTTTGGCCTATAAAACAGCGATATGCTTAGTGTATATGAGAGCCTTTAGGCCTGTAAAACAGTGTTTGGTGCGAGGGTTGGTAAAACCTCATTTAGTGAGGGCTTGCGAAGCTTAGATTAGACTTGTAAAATAGTCGCTGTATTCCAGGACTTCCTGAAAGGAGTTTGTTTTCTTCTTTAAGTTTAAGTTATGTATGGGGATGTTATCAAATATATGACCCTTAATGTTGTTAGTTTATTCTTTGTAGGTGACTGCTGTCAAAGTGGCGTCAGGCCATCAGAACCAAAAGTTAGAATCAATCTTGGAGAAACCACTAAGGGATCAAGCTTTTGCCACTCCAGAAAAGGTGGTCGAATTAGTTCAAAAGGTATGTTATATAACTAAATGAATGAGGAAAAATCAGTAGTATGAAAGGTGGATTCTTTTAAAAAAGGCCATAGATTGGTGTCTCCCTTTTCTACATATTTCAGTATTTTAGAATTGATCTTGTCTACATTAAAATGTGTATATGTCTCTGAAATTACTATGTGCAGTCTTTGAGGTGCAGCTAGAATGCAAATCTCTCTAATTTTGTAGGACTGATCACGTGATTAAAGATGACATGACCTGTTTCTTTCTATTTTTTCTGTCCCAGGGCCATGTTGCTTTGACATTAAATTGGTAGTGCCATGTAGATATGAGGAATTAGACTGACTTGAAATATTTTAGCTTATCTGATCGTATTTCTTTCCTTATGAAACAGGTTAATGCTGCTATTCAGCAACAGCTGCCTTTGGTTATGGAGAAAATGAAACTTTATCTACAGAACCCTACCACAAGAATGATTCTTTTCAATCCTATAAAGTAAGTTGATAAAATTTTTGAAATTTTGTAATTAAGTTGGAGTCTGACCATGGAGCAGACAGACTTTATTAGAAATAGCACATATTTAGGTTTGGATGCTTGTCTGAGCTTGAAACTAAATATGAATGTCACCTAAGTGACTAAGGAGAGTTCTCTCCAAGAAGTCTATTGAGAATCTGAATACAAGACGGCAACTCTCTATTCATAAAGAATTGAAAAACTATGTATTAGAAAATATGAAAAGATATTAAATGGAATTAACCAGAGCAATATCTAATAAACACTAATCCTACTACATCAGCTAAATCAGGGACCTTTAGAATATTTGGTCAGCCCAATCTTAGATGATTTTTCTTCTCTACCACAAACTTCCACATTCTGGGAAGGGCTATGTAATAGTTACAGTTCGTTCTGGGGTGGAGTAATGATATGAGGTCATAGGATATTGAAATCAGAACACTTAGAATCCAGGACCTTAAGCTTACAAATCCTAGAACACTCAAATCCTTTGAGAATCAATCCTAAGGTTTTGGTTAAATGGTGGATTGCCTTAAGAGCAAGTACAAGTTCCTTAGCTCCAAGCTTGAAGAACATGAGAAGATGATCAATCATACTTCAATATTTGTTGCATATATCTTTACAAGAATTGCAAAGGTTGTAGGGAGCTCTAAGCTTAACAGCTGGAAGGCACATTCTTTATTTTATAACGATCTGTCGTTTACTACCAAAGGTATGGGGTGGACTCAATCGATGTATGAGATATCAACTCATACTTGGTTGATTCACGTCCCTTTGTGTCGGGTCTAACAAGCATGTTAATGCGCATGGATGTGCACAAAGCCTAAGATGGAGGCTGGTTTGTGCTATTCTAGGTAACTGAATTGAGATCATTTCTTGGGTTGGCTAAGTATTATAGGCAATTCAACACCATGTCTTTTATATCAACAATATCTCATCCCTGTTCTTGAATTAGGTTTAACTCCTATCAAGGTAATTTTAGGTGTATAAACAATAATGTGTTTGATTTGCATGCTCTTACTAAGCAATCAGCTAAGACTTCACTCCGGATTCTCGCAGGGTAAACATAGTGGAAGCTCATCTACAAGTACAAAATTTGCTCAAGGCAGAGTACTCTTCTGAAGAGATAAAAGAAGCAATCAATATGACTCCCATACATGTTCTGCAAACTCAACTTGATATTCTCCTGTAGACTGCTGGGCCAAGTTTGATTCTCTCTGTAGAAATTCATCACCAACAGTGGCATCCATTGGCGGAGTTGGCAAATGTTTATTCTTTGTGTCAAGGTGTTGTTTATTTGTGGGGGAAACAGGTTTCTGGAATGATATAATATGGCGTAGCCTTCCTTTATGTTCTTATATTTGATTAATGTATCTAGGCCATTGCCACTTACAGTTGTAGTTGGTGCCTCCTTTTTTAGAAACATTGCTTGGGAAGTCGAACTTTACATGAATAACTTAGTTTAAAAAACTTGTTCTACAATCATTGATAATATGCCACCCACGGCACAGTTTGATCATTGTTGAGATAACCTTAAATTTTTTATACTCAATTCTATCTATAATTGGGCAAGGATATGTATGAATGGAAGGAAGAATGTTACCAGAATTTTGGAGTTCACTCTCTCTTGTTCAAGCTAAGACCTGTGTTCATGGGTTTAATTTGGTTTGAGGAGCTCCACCATAGTGTTGAAAATTTTCAATATAATAAGCTGTGATTAGTACTAAATTACCGTTGTAAGGATATTATTTTTCACCAGCTATTGTAAAGAGTTTTTCATCATCCAATCAATATTAGCTAAAGAAAAAACGACGAGTTGAATATAGTTAGAAAGCAGGTTTCCTTCAAATAAAGGTCACGAGTTTCACTTGGTGATGGATAAAAAGGGAGTTGGTATTAAGTTACTGAAATTAAAACATAGAGGGATTAAACTAGAAGGTTTTAATTAAATAATTACAATAATAATAATAAAAGCCATTGGAATTAGTAACTCCAAGCATCGAGTTTTGGTTTTTAGATAATAATGTATGAGTTAACCCATTTCTTCATGTGTTTGGAGATATTGTGGAAGTAGATTTGAATATCGGTTATTTATTTCTGCTTTTTTCATGGAATTATAAGCCTACGAACTTTTCCCTCCTTATTTGAAAACATAAGAGCTTTATAAAATTGTCTATTTCATCCGAGACATTGTTTTCTACATCCTTGCCAAGATTGTCGTTTCCCTTAATTGCTCGGTCACAAAATGAATCCCCGTGGCCATAGTTTTTGTAGTTTTGTTTGAGATAAACACAAATTAAAAAAGAAGAAGAAGAAGAAGAAGAAAGAATGAAAGAAAGAAAGAAATATAGTAGACTAATAAGAAGAAAAGGTAGAAAGTAACCCAATTGGGCGACAGATATTAATTAAGAAGAAATAAATGATTGCACATTAATACGTTAATGGGAGAGGCATAAGGGTGAAGTTTTCATGTTATTAAATAATGTCCCCAGATCCCTTAATTATATTTTATTTTTGACTTCATTTATTTATTAATAGATCTATTTATTTATTTATTAATAGATTTATTTATTTGTGGTCTCCGGACGGCAGGGTCACCCAAATTGTGGTCGCCATTCCTTTCCCTCCCCTGCCCGAGGCTGCCCCTGGATCTGCCCGGACCTTTCTCCTCCTCCTCCCATCTGTATCTCTCTTTAAACTAAAAATTAATGACACACTCCACCAACAATAATTACCTTCCTCCTCCTCCCCCTCTCCTTCCACCTTTCTCTCCATTTTTCCCTCCTCTCTGAAAGCCTCCATGTCCCTGCCTCTCCCTGTACATGGATATGCGTCTATTTCTGTACCTTGACGTACTGTCCCATATGGAGTCCAACGCTGTTTTGTTGCCTTGTTCATAATCATCTGCTTTGCCTTCGTAATTGAATCATGAATTATACCATCAAGAACAGGGCGTTGTCAGCGTCTCAATCAACCCAACCATTCTGTTTTTTTCTGAATTCTTCAATGTTCATTTCGGGATGTTGTATTTAAAGCAGCCTAACCTCGTTTTGGGGGGCATTTAAGGTGTCGGCGGTTGTGATTTCCTTCTTTCTCCCTTCTGGCTCTATATGATACGTTGTGAGGTGATATGATTTGATATCATATCCTCTTTTCTTGCTTCTTCTATTCAATTCTATTCTATTCTATTCTATTGTTGATTTGTGCTGTTCTGTGATTTGCATGCCCTTCTCCTAGTTTCCCTGAGCCTGGGCCTGTGGTGCGAGGCTCGGGGGATCTGTAAATCTTTTCTCAAATATGGCTTCTTTAGAGGCCGACCCCTTCTCCTCCACCAATCCCACCGCTTCCTCTGAGAATAACTCGTTCTCCACCTTTCCACTCCCATCCCCTGAAAATGATGCTTACTCCAACTCTGCTGCATCTTCTGATGACCTCCGTTCTGCCTCGCCTGCTTGTATGCACAAATTCAGGCTCTATGAGACTCGATCGGTAACTACTCTTTTGTTCCCATTTCTTTGTGTTCAATTCTACTTTTCATATGGTTGTTTCTGGAGTTAATAACTGAGCTTGTCTGGCTTGTCAAGCCACTGTTTTTCTTCCACAAAAAACATACATAAAAACATACTTATGCATCTGTTTTCTGTTGTGTAACTTACTACTGCCCAAATATCCACCCGTTTTCTACATGGACTACTACTAACTCTAAAAACTTTTGAGAGATTTCTCTTCTGTAGTAACGTTTCTGTGCGTTTGCTCATCAATTTACCACGATGCTGCTATTTATGTTGTGTGTTATATTACTGAGACAAGCTGCAGTGGCATTTATAGACAAGTTCCTCTCTGTTTTATTTTTCTTCCTTCCCTCTAAACATATTCTTTCTTCTGTAGACTGTAGAATCTTGGTTTATTAAGCGTTGAAGAAACGTTAAGTTTGTGACATATGTCGCTTCTTGATGTGGTTGTCTAACTTTATTTATGTATTTGTGGTAGTATTCCTATTTATGCATCTTTTCTCGGTAAAATTTCTATTCTAGAAATTTTACATTGTAGGAAGAGACAAGAGTAGAACATATTGGAGAGTGCTCAAAATTGATAGGATGGATCTGTCGGAGCTAAACATTCGGGAAGATTCTGCTGTATATACTGAAAGTGAATGTTCTGATCTGCTGAGACGCATACACGAGGGTAATAAATCTACAGGCGGACTGAAGTTTGTGACCACTTGTTATGGTATTGTTGGTAAGAGAAATCTTATGAAGTTTTAATTTTGCCGTAATACCTGATATTCTATTGCAATATCATCATTTTCTCTCCTTTTGCTCTAGGGTTCATTAAATTCCTAGGACCCTATTACATGCTGCTTATTACGAAGAGGCGTCAAATTGGTACGATATGTGGTCATACTATATATGCTGTTTCCAGAAGTGAGATGATTCCACTTTCAAATCCAGCGGTTCGGTCCAACATAGCCATTTCAAAGAATGAGAACAGGTTCTTAGTTAATTTCGTTCCTTGCTGTTTATTTCTAAGTGCCACAGTAGCAAGAAACAGCGATTTTGCTCATAGTGATTTCGTGGCTCTTATTCCTAGAAATTAAAAATTTAAAGTTTTAGAATTCTGTCATTTCATTTTTTCCATGTAATTTTTTTGGGATAGGGAACAATTTCAATGATAAAACGAAATGATGCAAAGACAAACCCCATTGAATGACATTACAAACAACTTATCCAATTGAATGTGAGAATTTTAGTGAAAAGCAATAACTTTATCATTTTGTGAGACTCTCCTCCCTCCTAGGGGTTTTGTCTTCCATTGTTGATGGGAGAGTTTCACTTTGGGGAGGGATGTCCAAAGGCTTTTTCTGTAGCGCCTTTTTGTGTTTAGTTAGTCCTTCCCAGTTGATATTTTCTCTTGTCTAGGGGATGGGTAGAGGCTTTCAAAGATTTTAGACATGAAATACTCCATTGACCAATGCCTGATCATTTCCCTATTGGGCTGACTTTAGGCCCTTCTAAATAGGGTCCTTCACCCTTTAGATACAAAAAATATTTTATTGGAGGCCTTGAATTCCTAGTGTTTCTCGGTCTAATGCTTCAACAAATGATATTGAATATTCAAGTAACCACTATTTATTGATGTTGTTGCAAGTCTAAATTAGTTTCCTATTTTTCTTATTGATTTTCATAGAGTTATATAGAGTTGTATGCCCCTTTTATAAAGAAGGAGGGCTGACTAAATCTTAGATACTAGTATCAATAAATATGAATAAATTCCCAATAAATCTAAATAAATCAAATCTGAATAAATGCCTAGGTAAATCTAAATAAATCTAAATCTAAATCTAAATCTAAATAAATCTCTAACTTAGCCTTAACGTAGGATATATTTGTATATTCATTTGTTGTTGCATAGTATCTAGGAAGATTTACTATTACCTATAATAGGAGTTGACAAGAAGATGCCGTTTTCTCTCTTCCCGTGACTCCACCTCTCCTCTCCTCATGCCTCTCATAAACATCATGTTAGTCCTCTCACCATCGTGCTGATAGCTATGGCCTCTCGTAAGATTTTGTTGACAAGTTTAGGACAAAGTTAATGGAAAGGTAATTGAGTTTCATCTTTAAAGAATTTTGGCTATACTGAGTCGTTAGTATGGATTGTTAATAACATAGAAGATCTACTTTTCTCCCCTAGGGCTCAGAAGTAATTTCGAGAGAAGCATTGCACCAACAATTTTACATGAATCTTAAAAACCTCCAACGAATGAGGAAGCTTCATCGAGATAACCAGAATTTTAATAGTTCTGACTGGACTCATTTTTAGAGTATGGGTCGATTTTCACTCACTCTTGATGAAATTTCTCCACGGAAAAGAACAATCGTCCCGATTGATGAAATTTGGGTCGTTGCTTGTGAAATATGGTGGATGAGTTACTTTTGGTTACTTCACATTAAAGTTAACGGTTTGGAACACCACAACAAAGTAAGATAAAGAAGTGAGTGTTTTTTGTGACCCAACCAACTTGAAGGGAGTGTTTTACCACCAATATTCCACACATGGAAATAAGCTCCGATGTTGCAACACATATTTTCAAAGGTGAATAGAGTAGAGCCCCATTTATCAAAGCCAATGGACAAGAGGATGGGATAGTGGTTGGATGTGGGTATGTCAAATATTTTAATCACAGCACCATCAAATTTCTCAAGGACTTTCCCTATAACGAGAAAACAATACATGATTCTAAGATCCAGGGCATTCAGGAAGTTTGACCAAGTAAAAAGGAAATTCTGAGTAGGAAGATCGGTTAGGGAAGCTTGCTCAATGATATGATTAAAAATATGCATACTTCTAGTGATTTGACCTTCATTAGAGTGCTCAAAAGACCATTGGAGCAAAGTGGAGAGATCATTTAATTCTTGCCAAAAGTGGGATCTTTGTGTAGATTTGGAAGGGCCATAGATCCCTGTTAACCAAAATGAGGCCATTGGGGAGAAATAAGCAAAGAGAGGGAGGCTGCACCTTTAGTAATATTCAAGATCCCAAGGACGGGTCATTCCACATGATGGTGATTCCAGCAAAGGAACCTAAAGCTATTCTTAGAGCTCCGAAGGGAATTGATGATAGATCTACACTTTTACTAACTTTGTCTCCTGTGAGATGACTTTGGTCGGGTTGTGTTTGAGAATGAAGGACTTGATGAGCGCACACTTTTGTCATGAGCCCAAACCCCTGACATTTCATGAAAGGATAATCATGTAGGGATAGTCGGCCCACCAATTCTGCTTGGAAGAAGATTTGTTGTAATTTACTGTAGACACAACAAAATACTATCTTTGTATTCTACAAACTATTTTTTTAAACTATTCTGCCAAGCAAGTTTTATTTTTTCTAAACTAATGAACTATGGTAAATTGCCTCTGCTTTCTGCATATAACCCAAAATCATAGGGAAGTGTCTTGAATATACTGAAACTTACATGTACTCAAGCCCTTCCCAATGAGTACGTGGGTTGAAAACCATTTAGTCGAAACCTTGTTCAGATTCCACAAGTGAATACATTATGCAACTGTTTCTTAACATGTTGCACAAAGTGTGAACAAGACCTCAAGTTGCTTTTGGTCACAAATAATCCGAGTGAGACTTTTGATCACAATTGACAAGTTCATTGGGGATATATTCATGTAATCCGTTCTAGTGGAGAGCTAATCAACAATCTACAAAGTTGACCAATGTTGGGAGATATAATCCCTCCTAGTTGCATGAATGGGTGATTAATTGAGCTGACACGAGAGTCCTATGGATGGCGAGAGATACCTGTCCATTTGCAGGTAGATTCATCTGAAGGGCTCCAATTACCAAGGACTTTCTTAGTATCATTCAAAGTACTTATGATTTCAAACTATGTCGAACCATCTTCAGTGAGAAAAGAAGCAGTGGCTCAAAAGGGTAGCTGCTAAAATCACGGATAAGACCCATTTTACATTACTTTCAAACCCCTTCCAGAAATCAAATTTTCGGATTACGAATCTCTCGTTGTAGCCTGTCACCAGAGTTCATTCCTCTCGAGCCAAGAATCCTTTTCAAAAATGGTTGAGAAGATCGAGAGTGGAAAGTTTTTGTGGAAGAACTAACAAGTTCTATTTTTCCGAATACAGTTTTCTTGTTTTAGTCCCTAAATATCCTGTAAGCTTTTGGAATGTTTTAATGCTAAAATTTATAGTGATTGTTACAAATTCAATCTTCTCAGAGATAAGTTTGTAATCCAAGTTATAGTTGAACAAGAAACAAGACCAATAATTGATATAATAAGAAAATGGCTATTGTTCAAAAGATACAAACGCCACCACTGATTGAAAAAAATAAAAATATAACAGCAAGCAACAGAAGACAAAAAAGAAAAAGTACATAACAGAACATAACACCACAAAAATAACAGAACATCCAAGTTATTTATTTTTGAATTTCTGTTAATGGCTTATGTTAGTGATTTTCTGCTAAAACAAAGAAATAACTTTTGCCGAAGGAAACTGAATTGTGGGTTTACTGCAAGCTACATGACTTAACTAATCTATTATTTATTTGTTACTTGTTTCTTGTCTTAGATACAAGAAGCTCCTATGCTCGGTGGATCTCACGAAGGACTTCTTTTTCAGCTACTCATACCAAGTTATGCGTAGCCTTCAAAAAAATATATGTGATAATGAGACAGGCCATGCCCTTTATGAAACCATGTTTGTCTGGAATGAATTTCTGACACGTGGAATCCGAAATCACTTGCATAACACTATTTGGACGGTTGCTTTGGTCTATGGTTTCTTCAAGCAGGTTAGTAATTGGTGCTGCTTGGGTGCTTTCTCTAATCATAGGAAGGAATAACTTAGTCTATGGTCTTGGAAGACAATGCCTGATTTCATCATTTTTTATTTTTTATTTATTTTTTATTTATGAAATCTTATTTTATAATTAAGCAAACAAGGAGGTGGGAATTTGTTATTTACTGGATTAGTATTTTTTTTATATGATATTTATTGGATTGGTATTGGTAACATATGATTGAAGTTGATGGTGTTTATTCAATACGGCTCAGTGGTAGGGCACATAACTTCGTTATTTATTGTTTTGTAGATTATGCAATCACTTGGACTGTTTTCTGGCATTTGTTTGTTTAGTTTTTGCTTGGGTCATTGAGTATCCTTGTTCTTTCTTGCTTACAGGCTACACTATCTCTAGATGGGCGAGATTTTAAGTTGACCCTCATTGCTAGACGTTCTCGCCATTATGCTGGCACAAGGTACGGTCTGTTGGGCTTTCTCCCCTCAAATTTCTACACTTCTCATTTGATTATATGTTGGCAAGAAATTTTTTTGCCTTGTTTTTCTTTTATTTATTACTTATTTTGAATCAGAGACCAACTTTTCATCGATATATGAAATGGAAGAAAAAGTTCAAGGATACAGCCTAAAAAAAAAAAAAAAAAAAAAGAACCAAAAGGGGAGAAAAATAAAAAACACCAAAAAGAGCCAGCAACAACCTAAAAAAGGAACCAAAAGCGCCATAAAGAAAAACCAAAATACAGCATTCGGGCAAAAACACCATAAGAAAAAACAGCAAGCTAATTTAGCCGCAACATGGTCACAGCTTTTCTATTCTGGAAAATCTGATTAGAACTAAAACCCTAACTCAATCTTTCATCGCTGTCGATCATCCATTGTGAACAAGTTTCATTTGGAGCCTTTATAGTTTTTGTCACCGTGACGAATTTTCATTCAGGATGTGAAAAAAAAAGGAAAAAAGGAAATCTCGAAGTCTTTGAAGAGATCCACCAACATTTACCTGCAAATTGCTTTTGATTTGGATATTCTTTTGCATTCTGCCTATGCTACTGCTAGAATAGTCCCGCAAGTTTTATGTTTCTTCTTTCTTCCGCAAGAATAGTTCTGCAAGAATTTCCATTAAGTTTCTATACACCACCCAGCCGACAATCAGCTGCAAGCGCATATCCAGCTGCAAGAATAGCTCTGCAAGAATTTCTGTCCTCCCAGCCCATATCCATTCGGCAATCAGCCGCAATCCCATTTCCAGCCACAATCAAAGTCAGCCCATATCCATTATGCTTTCAAATCCTGGACATAACCACCAAGCTAATTCCATACAGCAATTAGCATATTACAAAATTCCATACTGCAAGCTAATTCCACCCAAAATTCCTAACATTAGTCGGCATCGACTATTTTTGAAATCCAAAACCCTTAGTAAACAATTGAACGTAAGGAAAGGAGGGGTCCGAACTAAGATCTCCCAATTCTTCAAGGTGGGGCTTCATTTCTCGGATGGAAGAATCACCTTAAGAAAGACGGCTATGGAAAGCATACTGCCATGGATGCTCTGATCTACTTAGGTGTTGTTCTCAGATACCTTGTTCCTGAGATTTTTAAATTTGCATGGAAACACATAACAAGAAAAACAGGATAAACTTAGGCATGTTCTTCTAGCTGCGAGGAACGATGAGGAGCTCGAAATATTGCTTCAAGGAGTCACCATTGCAGGCGATGGAGGTCTTCCAAACATTAATCGATTCTCCTTGAGAAGTGAGTACTAGAGAGGCAAACAACACCTATGGATGTGCTCCAATCGGAGTGAGTACGAGAGAGGCGAATGGAAGTGCTTCAAGAGGAGTGGGCACGAGAGAGGGGAGCAGAGAGAGAGGAGCAACGCCTGTGGAAATGCTTGAAGGTGTGGAAATGCTTGAAGGAGAGTGTTGAAGGAATGTTTTATGAGTTAGTATTCAAGCTGAGAATGAATGATATTTATTACTAAGCTTGAGAGGAAGTATTGAAGGAATTACTTTAATTTAAGGAATATTTGTGTAGTCTCATTAAATAAGGGTAGTGGTCTAATTCAATGTAGGGATTTATTTAGATTTATTGGTAAGATTTATTTAGATTGGATTTATTGTTTCCTAGATTTAGATAGTCTTTCTCTATTATAAAAGGCACATGTACCTCTTTGAAATTAAATAAGAAAAACGACAGACTAATTTAGACTTGCAACAAAATTGACATAGTATCAGAGAACCAATAAAACCCTAGTTGCCTCCGCCATCACCACCGTCGTTGCCTAACTACCATCATCAACTACTCTCACCTTTGAAGATCTCTTTATGCATGGCAACTCCACCGATGCACCTTCAATTGTCTCTCTCTCATTGCATGGAAACTCCTCGTGACAACAACCTTAAAAAGTTATGAACTCCTCTGCATTTCCTTCGCGACTCTCTCATCTCTCACCACTGACGAATGACTCCTTCAACGCTAACACCAACATCTCCATTGCCTACGCTTAGCTCTGCCATTGCTGATCCTATTTGTTGATGGTTTTTGATCTATATCGTCTCTAACTATTGTGCTTTTCATTTGTCTTCTTCTCTTATCCGTTGATTGATTTTTCTCTAATATGCCTTCTTCAAAATCTAATGAGCCAATCTCCAATGGTCAAGAGGGATACGATTCATCATCACTTGTCCATATCTCGTGTCACAAACTGAATGACCACATTTATATCCAATGATCACAATCAGTCACGATGTTCATATGTGGCAAGGGTACGAATAGCTCTTAAAGGAGAATGTGCTGTCGAAGCAATTGATCCAGAATTCAGGAAGTAGAAAGTAGATAATAATGAGAACCAAGCCAAGTTCTTTGCATAATGATGGGAAAATTAGAATCAGTCTCTACCATCTTGGAAGCTTTTGGAATTGTTACTCGCAGTTTTAACCCAATGTTACTCCGTGACAAAAAGCAAAAATGAGAGAGACCTGAGTTTGAAAATTACAGAAAGGTGGGTCATATAAAAGATACATGTTGGAAGCTACAATGGAAGCCCTTTGATTGGAAACCTAAGCATCGTAATGATTGTGATGGTGAGCCTATGTGGCTAATGTTGTTCAGAGTCGACACCAATTAGTGAAGAACAAATAGACATACTGCTAAAGATCAAATGGGGGAGTTATTGCCGAGAGTTAGTGAAGAGTCTCTGGGGAAGAAGAAAGGTGGAGTGGGTAGGGTTGGACTCAGCGGTAGAATCTGGGGGTTCCTTATTCTTTGGGATGGTAATTTGGTTAATTCCTTAAAGGTTGTTAAAGGGTTATTTCTATGGCGGTTTCCTTTGATCTACCTAGGGGTGTGGTAGGGTGAGTGTCTAGAGTGTATGGGCCATTTTGGCGTAGAGGAAGGAAGGCTTTTTGGGAAGAGCTTGGGGACTTATTCGGTTTGTGTGGCTCTTGCTAATGTCTGGCGGAGAATCTAATGTGATTTTCCCTCTTCAGTAGAAGACATTGCGTGGTAGAGTTATGGGCTTGGTGACAGCCTAATAGTGTCACTGAGGAGTGCAACCTTTTTGATCTTTTGTTGGTGAATGGGAGGTTTACATGGTCAAAGAATAAGGCTTGTGTAGAATTGATAGTTTTTATTATCTAATTTGATGCCGTCCTTAATGTGGGACAATTTTTGTTGCCTAGAGTAACGTCAGACCATTGGCTGTTATGTCTTGCGTCTTGATTTGGATCTCTGAATAGGGGTTCTGCCCTTTTAGGTTTGAGAACATGAGGTTGGTTCACCCTTCCCTTAGTGTTCTGTTCTTTCTTGGTGGTGAGTGGAGGTTTTGGTTGGGGAAAGGGTTTCACTATGGGGGAAAGTTGCAGGCTCTTAAAGGGGTGTTAAATCCTGGAATTGAGAGAGGACCGTTTCTCTAGCAACGAGTTTGACCTATCTTTTAATGCTTCCATCAGCCTTGCACTTCAATTTAAAAAACCACTTGCATCCCATAGTTTGTTTCCCTCTAGGTAGATTTGTCACTACCGTGTGTCATTGTCTATGTTTGACTATGATGGCAATGAAAAACACAGACGTAGCAGTGAGCACAAGTTGAAAATACTTGTTGGATTGGTCAGAAATGAGAGGTGGGAATGTCTATCTTCGTAAAGATCTCATGAATACAAATGATAATCACATAACCAGGCAGGCATGGTGGTCGATGAGGAAGAAAAACATTTATGACGTGAATGATTCTGGCAAGTGTTAATGCTTTTGACACTTTGGGGAAGGGTAAAACTTGAAGGAGGAGTTGGTTTCTAGAGATTGAGGGCACCGTTTGATGATGATGTTAGTGTTTCGATAGTAGTGTTGATAACAACAGCTAGGGCTCCAACGAAGAGTTTTTTAGCCCAAACAGCAGCCCTTTGTGTCATCTAACTCCAAGGCTCATCAAACTGCTCCGTTACCATTATCAGAACCCAAGTAGCTGAAGTATATAGAAATATAAAAGATAATGGAATTACAATATAACTTCCCAGTAAACAAGGTACTTGGAATCTCGCCTCTGCCTAAATCAACTAAAAATTGATCACCTCTCTCCATTCCCAACTCTTCTATTTATAACAAACTCCTAACAGTCTGTCTTGCTAATTACTATATTATCCTTGGCTATTTAGTCCTTGTATACTGTGATGTCCACAATTTCCTTGTTCTAATTTGTTTCTCATATGCTTTGCAATACATTATCTATTTTGGTGTCTGGGTTGATGCAGAGCTTTGCCACCTGAAACTGGAATACTGTTTCTTTAAACCTTCTGTGGATCAAATGCTGCCAATTTAATCGAATTATTTCAGTTTGTTTTGGTTCACTAAATGAAGTCTATCTTGTAGGTATTTGAAACGAGGTGTGAATGAAAAAGGTAGAGTGGCAAATGATGTCGAGACTGAACAAATTGTTTTTGAGGATGTCCCTGAAGGGGTTCCTATGCATCTAAGTTCTGTTGTCCAGAATCGTGGCTCAATCCCTCTTTTCTGGTCACAGGAAACTTCGCGCTTGAACTTAAGGCCTGATATTATATGTATGGCCTTAATTCCGTTGTACTTATTTGCAATTAGCCCTTGCATTGTCCTTTGAACTCGATTTTGTTTTTCCAGTGTCGAAGAAGGATCCAAATTATGAAGCAACCAGACTTCATTTTGAAAATCTTGCTAAAAGATATGGCAACCCCATAATTATATTGAACTTGATAAAGGTACTTCGTTTAAATTGATATATTTATGCTCTGATAATACTTGCATGGATGGTTAGCATGCATTGGATGGAAGATGAATCACGCTGTGTTATGAACCCAAGTGAGGGAGAGAGGAAGAATACTAGGGAAATCTGTAATTGTTTTCAGGTCCATGCTTTGAATTAATCAGTCACAAGGTATTTCGCTTTTTGTGAAAACAGACACGTGAGAAGAAGCCACGAGAATCTATACTTCGTGCAGAGTTTGCTAATGCTATTGACTTCATTAATAAGGAACTTTCCGAGGAGAACCGTCTTAGGTTTCTTCATTGGGATCTGCACAAGCATGCTCGGAGGTCTGTGCCTTGTAGTATGAGTTTAGGAAACTTGTCTAGAATTTTTCGTTGATGTTTTTCTTCTTGTGGCATTCTATTTGTTTTCCTTTAGTTAAATTTTTATCTGGAGAAAGTCTAACTTCAGTTTTAATATTTCTCCTTTCAACTTCCAGTAAAACCACAAATGTTTTACAGCTTCTGGGGAAAGTGGCTGCTTTTGCATTGACGCGTACAGGATTCTTTCATTGTCATGTTACTCCAGCTTTAAGATCTGAAAGGTATTCAATTTTCCCGATATTTGTGTATTTTTATTCCTTGATTCAATGACTTTCTTGGCCATTTTTATGATACAAGCATATATGTGAACTTTAAACTTGAATACCTCAAGTATCTCATCCTCGTATCAATGAAATCCAGCAGAGTACTTCAAATCAGAAGTCATGATACGTATCCATTATTTGCTATCTTGTAATGTCACAAATCAATTCATTACTTGATGAAATAAAATCCATTATGGAAGGTCGTGAAATACGCTGTTTTGTACTCAAGGCATATAATAAAAGAAAGTTGATCCTTTTATCTGCAGCTTCCAACTTGATACTAGTCAAATAATCTGATATGCAGTCATCTTGGCTGGTTACGTGGATATTCTAACATTGTTCATAGTTCCTGTTTCTGTCTGCTAACATGCTCCATGCATGCCTACTATATTTAATCTATTTGGCCTTATCTGCAAAGAAGGTTTACCGGTGACCAAAATTAATATCTATATATGATTGGTAGAAGTGATGGGTTGGTTACTGTTCCTGTGGATATGTATACTTTTCTTTTCCATGATTCTGATTTTGAGTTGGTGGTTTATCTCTCTCCCTCTCAATGTAAGAAATGAATGAAATATTTTAAACAATGAATTCAGTGTGGACGGGGAGGGTGTCACTTCTTTGGTCTTGAGTCTTTCCTGGTGACAAATTTTATAAGAAAACCATCTTGCAGGAGTGAAGGAAATTGTAGCTTATCTTCTCAGTTGCATTCAGACAATGATATTGAAGATGCTGCTAGCATGGAAAAGCAAACAAGTGTCGAAAATCTTGCTTTTAATGGAAATTGCGTTATAAAACAGCCAATATTCCAGAGTGGGGTGCTGAGGACCAATTGCATAGACTGCCTCGACCGTACAAATGTTGCACAATATGCATATGGGCTTGCTGCTCTTGGACACCAGCTTCATGCCTTGGAAATCTTAGATTCCCCCAAAATTGATCTTGATGCCCCTTTGGCTGACGAGTTAATGGGATTTTATGAGAGGATGGGTGACACACTCGCACACCAGTATGGTGGCTCAGCAGCTCACAATAAGGTATGTTGGATTGCTGCCAAAGTGCTCCCAACGTAGGAAATAAAATTCTATCTTCTCCTCCATTATTGACCTTTCATTGAAAAAATAAAGAGAGACTAATGTTGAAAGAATACAACCGCCACAAGGGAGGGAAGAAGATGACAACATAAAGAACAAGACCAAAATGAGAAAATAAATACAACAAAGGCCTAAAGAAGAAAAGCAGGGCATAACCCATCCATGAAAATAAACGATAAAGAAGGAAAGAAAAAACAATCCAAATGATAAAATCCAGCAAAAGGCTTTAATAGAGAGCTCCAAGATGAGGCCAAAAGGCAACAAAATGACAACAAAGAAAACATCAACAGGTGTTCGTAGAAATTATTGGCAGTTAAATAGAATCCTACTGCATCAAGACCAAACAAGAATTTTATATACCAAGCCCAAAAAACTTACAAAATATTTACTTACACCTATAACTCTATATGTTGGATGAAACTTGAAAGAGGAATATCTCTAAAACCTCTTATATGGACATCAAAGACAAGAAGTAAATTAAAACCTATCTTATGGTCGACCGACCATGTTCATTTCTTACTGTCAAATACCCTAAAAGATTTTACTCTAAGCTATCAACCCAGGTAATAGGCCAACATGTGCTACAAAAATAATTCCTCCAGTTTGTATAAATCATAAAAGAATTATGGTTACAAAAATATTTGGAGGAAAGAGAAAAATGAGACAAAATATGATAGAATACTTGCGCTATAATTTTATAAATAAGGGACGAGATTAATATACTCGTATTTACATCAGTGTACAAGCTTTAACACTCCCCCAAAGTTGGAGTGTATATGTTAATTGTGCCCAATTTATTACAAAAGAAATTTATTTGCACTCTAGTTCAGTTTTTGTGGAAAACCTCTCCTAATATCTCTCTACTCATTACATATCCCATTGGCATCATATATTATTGTATTTTCTGACGAATTAATGACAATCAAGTTTTAGTTCAAGTTCATTATGTTTGGTTTGTTTGTGAAATGTTGGGTTGGACCTAATATGAAGAGCAACCTCACTGTCATACCACAACTTGATTGGAATTGCTGCATTGAAGCCTAACTCAGTAAAAAAAAACTGATATATCTACCAGGGGTAAACTTCAGTTCGGTTCGCTCGATTAGATTTTGGTATTTGACATCAAACCAATGTTCAAACAGGGGAAAATTGAATTTCAATTGAAGCAGTTGGTTCAGTTTTATTTGGTTTGGTACTCTAGGTTTGGGTGTGAAAGAGGGTATGCCATTATGAATCAAATGAAAGGTTGGAGAAAGACTCTCTTCCAATAAGGAACAAGTAAAAAGTAAATACTAACATAAATATATATAATTAATATACATGTTATACTTACAATATAAAAAGAAATCCAATAGATTAGTTAAATGTTAATCATCTCGATGTTATCCTTTTTCTTCAATCAAACTGGGGGGCTTTATGCAATTAATGTGTTTAGGTTGGAAATATTGGAATCCCGGGGGAGTTTGTAATCTTTGACATCCTTGTAACTCTTTACTTACCAATAAAAAAAAAATCCCCCAAAAAGAAAGGGTAATGTTGAGGGATATAAATACCTACTAAGACTGGGACTATGACATTTGTATCCCTTTTGAACATATAATATCCTAATGAATGTATTTCGTGGAATTAGGGATCTAATTTTGTAAGTTGAGTTAAACATTTCAAATAAAACAAGTATAGCCAAATGCTTTTGATTTGTTAGGGAGTAGATACTTGGTAAAAATAAAATATAATGCGGGATCTTATCAATGCTATCATGAAACAAGCTGTGAAAATTGTAGAAGCGCAAAGATGCCCTGGAATGTACATTTGAAAACAGTCGTGCTCTTGATGAAACATATCTGTTATTTCTTTCTACAGCTTCATTCTTCTGGATTTTTTTTTTTTTTTTAAAGTTAAGCTGACTATATAATGCAATGAGATGATTTTATTTATTTATTTTTCATTAAAATATTATATTTCAGCAGTTCTATTATTCCCTTTTTGAATTCCATATTTACTGTGCTTCCACGCATGAATCGAAATATCATGCTTTTTTGTTTTCTTCTTGATCTGAGGAATAATTCTCGGTGGCAAAACTGTGAAGCCATCATTTACCATCTTTCTAAGTCTTCTACATCTTGGGTGCCAAATAGATATTCTCCGAAAGAAGGGGACAGTGGAAAGCAGCGACACAGTCTCAGGAGTTCTTCAGAACTCTTCAAAGATATTACAGCAATGCCTACATGGATTCAGAAAAACAAGATGCTATTAATTTGTAAGTTAATCAATGAAAAGTTTTGTTTATTGTCAAAAAAATAAAAATAAAAATAAAAATAAATAAATAAATTGAAGTGTACTGTTGAGCTTGGTACTTCGGTCCAGCAATGAAGTTTATCCAAGAGTCAAGGTGCCTTGGTCAAGGGGAGAATTCAGATATTTCCTCTGTAGATTTTCTCTTTTCGTCAAATTGATCACTCATTGTTGTAGACTAAATTATCACATGGCATGTTAATATATAACTGTGTGAATACATATATATTCCATTGGTTTTAGCTCCAGATTGTATTTAAATTTTAAAAGAAGATATACTTAGTAGGATAGTTGAAGTAGCAATAAAATTTTGGTCTATAGTCAATGCCTTTGCAATGACAAGAAAAACGTGAGTTCCTGGAAACAGAAAGAGAAACCAGATAATAATTGTTGGGATTTTAGAGGAAGAGAAGTGATGTATGTCTCATTTTATGAATGGAATTTGCTATATGCGCTTCTTTATGGAGTCTAATGCAGTCATTGTGAGCAAGTATGGACCACACCCCGTTTGAGAGGGTCTCATTTGTTGGTTTTAGGTTTCTTATTTGAAATCCTTGAAAAGCTATTTGTTCAAGCTTCCCCTCTTTTTCCATGCATGAAATCTCCTATCCGCTTCTCTACAAGGTCGATTTTCTTCCTTTAGACCAGGCCAAGCCTTAAGGACCCCTACGGATCATGCACTGGATCCATCCGGCCCGGAATCCAATGAACCAATGGTTAACCCTCTTTTTTTAGTGCTTTGCATAGAGAGGGAAATTCACGTTTTTTCCTTAGAAGAAAGGTCCTCAAAGCCTCTTCATTTGAATGAGAATGATGAAGCCCACAATCATCGAGATTTGAGAAAGATTTAAAACTGAAGCCTCCGAACAAGAAAGCACCTTGGAAAGAGCGCGACTACTAGGGCACAATCCAAACTTGGGGCCTGTTCCATTGGGGTTGGCTTAAATACTTATTTTTGGGACGATTTTTGGGCTCTTTGCACCATTTTCCCATGTCTTTACCCACCTTTCTGCTATCAGGCTTCATTCTATGGCCTCGATTTTTCTTTTTTGAAGAAATTCCAACTCATCATCAGCTTGGGTTTCTGTTATCCTTTATTAGATGGGGAGATGACAGATGTGTCAGCCCTTCTTTTGCTCAGGAGGGACTCATGTTTGCACCCGTAAGACTAACCTTTTTTGGATCTCTAACCCTTCTGGAAACTCTTCCTGCAAATTTTTCTTCCAAATCTTATGCAACTCTTTATCCTGCCATTGAGCCTCTTCGTTCTTTTCTTGTATGGAGGTTAATACCCCAAAGAAGGTCAACTTCCTTGCTTAGAAAATTTTGCGTGGGAAAGTAAGTAAATTCCTTTTAATGGCATCCAAATTCATCCCTTCTTTTAGCTGGGGTCACATTGGTGCATTTTGTGTAGAGGAGCATCGAAGGTTGACAGTATCTTTTGAAGCTGTTTGTTCACTTAGTTGATTTGCGTCCACTTTTTGGAGTCATTTGGTATCTTTTGCATGTAGTCGTGCTTTCCATCCTATGATGGAGAAGGTTCTTTTGCATTCCCGTCTTGGGATAAGGGATAGCCCTTTGATAGACTAACTTCTTTGCTATTTAGCAATGACTAGAGAGAAATAGTAGAATTTTCAAAGAGGTTGAAATATTTTGGGTAGAGGTTTTGGATGTCAATAGATTTAATGCCTCTTTTTGGACTTTTGCAATAGGGATTTTTGTAATTGTGTCAGTTAGGTCATATCATATTGGATTGGAGTCCTTTTCCATAGCGTTCGTTCAGCTCCTTTTGTTAGCCTTTTTTTTTTTTTGTGTGTGTGTGTGTGTACCCTTGTACGTTCTCCAAGTGATCATATTCTCTTTAAATTATCCCCTCTATCCTATTTGAATTGTTCCTTCTACAGTTGAGGATTGAGTATGTGCTTCCCGTTCGAGTATGGAATCTGGAATCTTTATATCACTAATCAACCCAAAAACGTAAGTGGATAGATTATGGGAAATTTTATAGTATCAACCCTTTAATCCTCCCCCTCACTTGTGGGTTTGAAAATTTGTAGAAGGCCCAACTAGTGGAAATCGATATTAATTGGAGAGGAAACAACTTTACAAGTGTTTGGGTTCAAACATAGGAATCCTTGGTTTGATACCATGTTACTTCATTGCAGTCTTTAGAAGATAAGGGTAGAAGATGCCGATAACATATATTCAAATTTTCTATTTGTTCCATATCATTCATAATTTGTCAGTGCTCTGCGTACTTTATACTCACATTATTGGCCACATTGTTTGTGTTCATAAAAGTGTCCACGATTTTTGTGTTAATTCCTCGGCAGTATTTGAAATCTTCTGTTGACATCATGCTTCAAGTATTATAATGTTACTATACGCTCCATTGCTGGGTTTGCCTGGTCTGATCGTTTTGATTCTGCTTGTTTGAATACTACTTCATGGCGTTGTCTCCGGCCTTTTGCTGGGTTTGCTTTATTTGATATTAGCCACAATTGGCATGTTTTCATTCTTCCTTTGTAGCTTTCTTACTTCTGATTTTTTTTTTTTTTTTTTTTTCCTTTTTCAAGTTCGTA